GAAGGAAGGAGGGAAGGAAAGAAGGAAGGAAGGAAGGAAAGAAGGAAGGAAGGAAGGAAAGAAGGAAGGAAGGAGGGAAGGAAAGAAGGAAGGAAGGAAGGAAAGAAGGAAGGAGGGAAGGAAAGAAGGAAAGAAGGAAGGAAGGAAAGAAGGAAGGAGGGGAAGGAGGGAGGGAAAAAGGAGGAGGGGGAGGGGAGGGAAGGGAGAGAGAAAGAAGCATTTATTCAGTGCTTTAAATATTAACTCCTAAGAATAAGAACTTTAACTGACATTTCCATTCCTCTCCTCAATATCTCAAATGGGGGACCTGTATGAAGCAGACACTCTTAAAGAGTTTGTTGAAGAAAACAAAACAAACCATTCTTAGGGCTTTTCTTTGGAATTCTCCTTGATTGGGGTAAAAGGTGAGCCTGCCTTGTATCATATTCTTCTCTTTAGCAAATAATATTCTAGAATCATGGAATGTCAGAACTGGGAGGGAGCTTAGAACAGGGAAGGTTGGAGCTGGGAGGGGCCTGAGGTCAGGGGATGTCAGGGCTGGGGATCCTCAGATTTAGAACTGAACTGACAGTGGAAATAATGTAATCCAAACCTGTCACTGTACTAAGAAGGAAAGCAGAATGGGGAGATGATTTTCCTGAGCCCAGAGGGCACAGCAGTGTCAGAGCCAGGACTAATGCTCGTGTCTCCCAGGTCTGGGCCAGTGCTGATCACTCTCCGGCCTTCCCAGGCGCCTCTCCTGACGGAGCAGAGCCGTCCACACCTCTGGGAGCCGCTGAAACTTTCACCGCTCCTCAGTCCATCCCCAGAGTTTTGTCTTCAATCCGAGGAGCTAGAAATAGGTTTGTTGGAATTGGGGGGGAGAGACTTCCTCGTGCCTATATTGGTGGCCCTTACACAATCAATGTGTCAGGAGGATTCGTGTTTATTCTGCAGAACTTTTAGAAAGAAGGCAGGGAGGTATGAGGCTAAACTGGGAGGTGGGAGGTCTGAGTTCAAATCCCCTCCCCCAACATCCAATACCTGTGCAACCTTGAGCAAGTCTCCTCTCTTTCATAGGCCTCAGTTTCCTCTTTTGTGAAATGAGGAAATTCATAAGGCCGTCCATTTAGGGATCTGAGGGACCTTAGGCAGCTTCAAGTACAACCTCTTTACTTTGCAGATGGAGAAACTGAGGTCCCTCCAGCTCTGTATCAAAGGATCCCTTGGCATTTGGGTTTGATTGCAAATTTGGCAACATTTTCAGTTCCCTAAAAACAAAAAAACCTTCCCTCGGGGTAGACAAATTTGGTTTTTTTAAATGTATTTTGATAATTCTAATTTAATAAAATTGGTTGGCTTTGTAATCCTATGTATTTCCTTTTATGCATTTAATAGCATGATTCCAAGAAGGGCTCCATAGGCTTTCCCAGACTGACTGCCTGTGGGGTCCAGGACACACAAGCAATTAAAATCTGTTCCTTTAAGCCCTGGCTTCCTGGCCTTTGGCTGTCCTTCAATAAGGGAAGGAAAGGATCAATGGCTCGCTGCCTCTCCCTTGTACCCTTAGTAGAGGGTTGAGGTTTATGTGGTCACCTGGGCTCTTGGCTGAGAACCCTGCCCCAGAGCTCCCTGGCCTGTTTGCAGAGGGGAGTGTTTGCACAAGCCAGGCTGGTTCTTTGTGACTCTCTATTCAAACATCAGCCTGACCTCTCTACTCCCTCCGTAAAGCCACGAGTCCCAGAATGGGTCTGGGGAGCTTTGGGGGAGAGCAGGGGAGGAGGGGTCTGTCATTCTTGGGGCCTCTGCTTGCAGCCCCCAGTTAGGCTCTCTGATGCTGCTTCCACCCCTACTCTCTGCTGAGCACTCACTCACGGGGCAAACGTAGACATCTCTTGTTGGCTTCGCCCACCACCCACTTCCTTTCCACTGTCAGGTAGGGGTTGTCCCTAAGGTGAGGGGGTGTCCCTTTGGGAATAGGTGGAGGGAGGGACTCACAATCATCCCTGAGTGGGGAGGGGAGGTTGTCTCTATGGGTTTGAGGAGGGAGGTGTGACACAATGCAAAGAGTAGAGGACCTGAAGTCAGGTTAGCTGGGTTCCATCCCTGTCTCTGACACTTACAACCTTTGTGATCTTAGACAAGTCTCCCAACCTCTTCGGGCCTTACTGTCTTCATCTGTCAAATGGAGGGTAGTTGGACTTAATGGCCTCTAAGGTCTCTCAGTTTCCTCATTTATATAAAAGTCTTCATAGCCTGTGAGGTCCCTGTTAGTTCTGGATCTACGAGCCTGGGAGCACAGGATTCTTACACATCTCCTCTGAGGCAAATGGAGGGTCCAAGGTTCTCTCTAGGGCAATAATGGGGATGGGCTGTAATATAGTAGTATATAATGGGGATGGGCTAATAGTTCCCAGGGCTATTCCTGAGGATGGGGGGAAGGGTTGACCCCAAGAGGGTAAGGACACTGAGGACCTTCCTAAGGTGAGGGAAGGACTCAGTGTTCTTCTCTGAGAGGGAAGGGGGAAAGGGGGAAGAGCTATTCCTAGGGGAAGGACAAGAACTATATTTATGAGAGTGCGGACTTCAGAGCCCTGTGGGGCTGGGATTGCTCTCCTTGGGTAAGGTTGGAAGTGTGGCAAGAAGCTGGAGCTGTGGAGAGAGAGATGCTGCAATAAACACCAGCCACTTTTCCCCTCCCTGCCCCAGGGGCACCTAGGACTTACTGTCAACGCTGACCAATACTCCTACCAATACCCTTGGGCCTTGGGAGAACTAGTCAACGCAGACAGACTTCAGAGGTCACCTAGTCCAGTCCCCTCACTGTGCAGATAAGAAAGTGGAAGCCCAGAGAGACGTGATTCAAGGTCATTCAAGGAGTTATTGTCTATTCATCAGACCGTGTGACTTAGAACCAGAAGGAATTGTGACCAGAAAGAAAATGCATCTTCCTCTCTTCTTTTGCAGAAGTGGGGCACTATGGGCATGGAGCACTGCATATAAGGTCAGGCCTGTTGAATTAATTTTTCTGTTTTTTATTTTACAAAAGATAGCTCACCTGATAGGAGAAGGGGAGCTATATATTTGGAAAAGAAAGTCATGGACAAGATTATAGACTGAAAGGGACTTCGAGTCCCTTGGAGTCAACCCCCTTATTTTAGAGATGAGGAAAGTGAGGCAACAGGGTTAAGTGACTTGCCCAGGGTCACACAGCTAGGAAGTGTCTGAGGCTGGATTTGAACTCAGGCCTTTCTTACTCCAGGCCTAGCGCCACTAGACCACCTAGTTGTCTACTTCCTGGCTGTGTGACCTGGGACGAGTCATTTAAACTCCGTAAACCCTTTTTCTTCATTTATAAAATGAATGGATTTCTAAGATTCCTCTTGGCTTCACATCCTATGGTCTGATGAATGGAGTACAGCTTTGTCTACCCTACTGAGCCTGTGGCCTTGGGAGACTGAACACCCATTGGACCATGGGAGAGACAAGGGACAGAAAAGCCTCTGTCCTCAAGGGGTTTATAGTCAAGCTAGGGAACAGGAGGATGAGAGAGGAAAAGAAAGACCAGGCAAGCAATAAGCCCTAGTGCCTAGTTTTCAGAGTTCGAGCCTATGATGCGGCCCCATACTCAACCCTCAGACTGAGACCCTTTGCTTGCCCTCTCTCCCACCCCAGCACAACAGAATTCATTCCCCCAGCAGTCCGAAGGGGTCCTGGCAGGGTTGAGGTGAGGGTCTCAGGCCAGGAGAAAAAACCCTACAAAGGGATCCGGGGGTCTTAAAATGAGGTTCCCAAACTTGCTTTTCTAATATTTTGATGACTGTGTTTCAATATGATTCATTTATTTTATGTATTTAAAAACCATGATTCTGAGATGGGATCCAAACTGCCTAAACCAAGACTTAGAAAAAGCTAAAGATTTTAGACTCTAATCTGTGACCAGTAAGGCCAGTGTGGCCAACAGTGGGGACTTGGAGACAGTTTGGGGTCAGGGAGCTGAGATTAGACAGAGGAGAGCCTAAAACTGGGTTACCCTTAGAGTCCCTGCCATACCTCCTCCTCGGCCTAGTCTGCCCCCCTCCCCCTTTTCTTCCTCCTCTCTTAGAAAAAGCCCCATGGAGTGGTGGAAAGGTTTCTGCCTTGCACTCAGAAGACGTGGATTCAAGTCCCACTTGGCACTTGTGTCACCCTGGATAAGTCACTTCTCTCTGGGCCTCAGTTTCCTTAGCTATAAAATGGGGATAAGCATCATACCTACCTCTCAAATGAGATCACAAAGATTAAATGTGTTGCCTAAAGAACTCCCATTTCTGTAGAATTATAAGGGTTACTGAACATTCTTCCCATAATAATACTGTGAAGTCAGCTCTGAGGGCACTGGTAAACCCATTTTACAGATGAGGAAGCTGAGACGAGAGAGAGGGGGCAGTATCTGCAGTCAGACACAGAAATGTGCCACTCAGGTTCCTCTGAACCAAGTTTCTCTGTACTGCACCCCCTTGTCTCTCCTAGCCCCCCATGGACAAGACTTCCTCATACATGAGTCTGAGGATATTTCAGCACACATGGATGCACATAGCCCAGCACACAAACACACACATACACACACACACACACACACACACATGCATACACACAGCAACAGCTAAAGCCAACTCTGTCAGCTCTGGCTTGGATTCACGGACCTCGGGTTAGGAAAATTCTATCTAGCTACGACGCCCAGAGGAATGATGCCATCGCCAGAATTTACCCTCTTGTCACTGCCTTCTCTGCAGCTTGGGACAGACTTTCTCATGTTTCTCCTCTGGGCTACATCCCTTAGATCTCAGCTACTGGGGTGGGTGGGGGGGGACTAGGCCAGGCCAGAGGAGAAAGCATTCTCCTAAGCCAGCCCAGCTGGGATGCACACACATGTGTAAAACAAGCTGGTAGGGCATGCCCCACCTCCTCACCCGCTTTGCCCATCCATCCACACACTCTGTACCTTTAGCCCCTCCTCGAACTCCTAATGGGACCAGGGAACAGCAGATGTAGCCAAGAACTCAAAGACATCACCAGGCAACAGGGGCTCCCCTGGGGGAGAATTTCAGTCTCCCCGCACCTGCCTTCCCCAGGGTGCCCATGGAGGGCAGGGGCGGGGGCTGGCTTCCTTCCCCAGCTGTTTATGGCATCAGCAAGCTGATCCCAGCCCCCTGGGGTCCCCCCCCCAGCCTTGGAGAAGCATGATATTCTCCGGGTGGCCCAGACTAGCAAAGAGAGTAGGAGGTGCTGGGCGTCATGGAGCCAGGGGCCCTGGGCCAGCAGGGACAAGGGCCGGAGCAAGAGGCCATGGTGTCCGGTCATTGATCTGGGGCCCAGGAGGAGGGGAGCAGGGGGAGAGACCTTGAGCCTGGACAAACAGGGCCTCCTGTGGCTTGCATTCTGGCCCAGCCCTACCTGTGGCTTACAAAAGGTAAGTCAGATTCTCTGGGAACCCCTTCCCTTCCTTCTCAGCGTCAGTGGGGGACAGAGGGGAAGCTGGGAGCCATATCCTTGCAGTGTCTTCTTCTCGGGAGTGGGAGGCAGTGTCCTTTCATGATCCAGCGTCTGCTGGGAACCCAGACCTATGTCCTCCTCTTTGCTCCCGGAGGAGAGGCCCCCCAGGGGCCTGCTACCCAGGAAGTGACCACAGACAAGAGGAAGGGGAAGTCTGAGAAGAGGCTGGTGGACGCTGAGGAAGGGGGAAGACAGAAGGGGCTTCAGTGAATGGGTGTTCTCAGGGGTCCTGAGGAGGGCAGAGGCACCGGAATGAATGGGGGAGGGACAGACGTGGCACAGAACAGAACAGGACAGAACCTTCGTCGTGATCGCGGCCAGGACTTCTTAACTGCTCTGGTGTGTCCAGGACCCCTTGGGCAGTCAGTCTGGCCAAACCTCTGAAGCCCTTCTCAGAATAATCTGCATAAAGGCATAAAATACAATGCACAGTTTTACAAAAGAAACCAGTTATATTGAAAAAAAAGACCAATGTGGCTTTCCCCATCCATGTTCCCAGACCCCTGAAGTCTACCCACAGAGCTCAGGAAAAAGTCCTGGTCTAACCCAGACCTCTCACTTGTCAGGTGAGGAAAGCAAGGCCCAGAGAGAGAAATGGAAACAAAGCTGAGCATCAGAAACTCTGACTTCAGATAGAGGCTCGCTTGCTACCTGTGCAACCATGGTGAAACCATTGGACTTTCCCAGGCCTCGGTCTCCCCATATGTAAAAAAAGGGCTGGACTAGATGGTCCCTGAGGCCACTTCTGGGACTGAGGCTTGGATGCTATGACTTTCCCAGGATGACAAAGGGAACCAGGGACAGACAGCCGTCCTCCTAACTTACAGTCACACTCGTTAGGCTTGTGAGCCCTGGATTAGGGGATGGGGGATAGTTCTGTGGCAACCATTTGACTGATCCTGCCAGGGACATGCCCCCCAGAGGTCACCTCTGGGAGAGGTGGCACAGCCCACGCCGCCATTGGCTCCCCAATCCCTCATTCATTTCATCAGATGCTGCCCATACCCACCCCCGCCGGCTGGGTGAAGTAGTGGTCTGTCCAGGCTTAACTATACCCACTGGCCTAATCCCACTTACTGGCCTGAATCTGCCGGGCACAGCAGCTCTCACCCAAGTGCCCATGAGGGTGGGACGGGACCTAGCGCTGTCTCCCTCCAAGTCCTTCATTTTAGAGACAAGAACCTGAGGCCTGGGGAGGTTGAATGACCTAAGAGCCGTGAAGATAGTAAGTGGTAGAGACAGATTCAAACCCAGGTCCTCAGATGCCAAATCTAGCCCTTTTTCTACTCTATTGCACTCTCACAGGAAAGGGGAGCGGGCCTCGAGGCTAGAGCTTTTATAAGCCAATCATCAGAGCATACACATGACACACATGTGTATGTGTACATATATACATGCATGCATGACATTTCCATGTCCTGTCCTGAATAGAAAGCCAGGAAGAATTGAGTGAAAGTTCTATCCCTAATGCATGTGGGTTGTGTGTGACCCCGGGCAAATTACTGAACGTCCCAATGCACCAGGCGACTAAGACCATAAATTGCAAAGAAAGTGCCAGTCTGCCTTCAGGAGGGGACTTTCCCCACTTGGACGTTCCCTGTACCAATGAGATCACAAGTCAGTCTCTATGGATGTGCATGTGCATGTGTATTGTGTGCATGTATGCTGTGTGCATGTGTATTGTGTACTTGTGTGTCCATGTGTGCACACATGTGTGTGAGAGCATGTATGTATATATAAATGCATCTATGTGTATATATTTATGTTTGTTTATGTACAAGTATATGTATGTGTACGTGTATGTGTATGTATTGTGAATGTGTATGTAGGTAAATGTGTATTATATGTGTATAAGTGTGTTGTGCATGTTATATATGTGCACATGTATATGTATACATACGTAATATCATATCTATTGTATTGAAGAAATTAAAAGGATTCTGTATTATTTTCTAATTGACCCTATTCTGTATTGCTGTCCCATTTTCCCTCTGCATTAGTTTAAAGATAAAACAAAAACTGTTATCTCCCATACCTTATCTTTGAAGACCTCCAAGCTGACCTGATATATTTTCACAAGGTATAGTGTCTGTCTTTGCCTGTCCTTGCACAATTAAGGAGGATTTTGTCTTCCTAACAAACTCTTGTAGGCACCAGGGGGTCTGTTAACTCAGGTTAAGTAACGAGGTCTGCAAGATGCCGATGGGTTCCATAAAACAATGAACACTTCTTAATTGTCAGAAAAGGGTGGTTACTAGCCCAAAGCAGGTTTTAGCCGCTTTCTTCAAAATAACCAGTCATGTTGTCCCTATCCCCCAGATGCTGTCCGCTCTGCAACCAAATACGTCGTCTTCCCCACCTACCCAACTCTGTGCTCCCCAAAACTATATTAAAGCTGGTGAGCCCTAGGTCAGGATCTTTGGTCGTTGAGAGAAGCCATTGACCCGATTTATGATAGCTTAACTGATATGTCAATCACGCTTGGACCATTGTCTTTCAGCATGCCTGAATTTTCTAACAAAATAATGTGTGTATCTGTAAGTGTATGTACATGTCTATATATGTATGGATAATATAGAATATGTTATAGACATATGTGTGTGCATGTTATGTATGTGTATGTGTGTGTTTGTTCCCCAAACACTCTATAAACAGATAATGTAGAGTTAACCCTCTTTTTGCAGATGAGAAAACTGAGCCTCAGAACTAGAAGAAGAGTGCTGGGGGCCCAGTCAGAACTTCAGGGACTTGGTGTTCCTGGCTTTTAGCTTAGCGCTCTTTCCTTTCCACCAGATATCAAGGATTTTTTTTCTAAATCATCAACTTCTTGACCAAAAACCAAGGCCCATTCCCAGATTTGGGGCCTGCAGGGAGCAGAACCAGCCAGGCTCCCTCCCTTTCCAGGGTTCTTGCCTGTTCATCCCCATCACCCCTCTATGGAGTAGCCAAACCAGCTGTCTTGCTGTTTTCTGGAGATCTCCCACCTCCATGCCTTTTCGTGGGCTCCCTCTGACTTTTAGAACCTCTAGCTTCCCTTCAGAGCTCAGGTCATATACCACCTCCTAGGGGAAGACCATGCTGATTCCACCCCCTTCCAAGTTTCTAGCACCCTTCCCCAGAAATAGTCATCTGCACTGGAGATTTCATCAGCATAGATTTCATCCTGGTATGAAAACACCCTCTACCGAGGCAGATGGCACCTCCTTGGCAGCTTAGAGCCAGAGAGTTGTCCGGGCCTGAGAAGCGGTCACCTGTGGGTCAGAAACAAGATTAGAACTCAGGTCTTCTCATCTCCAAGGTTAGCCATCTATCCAGGAGACTGTGTAGCTCTCCACCCAAGTTACTTTATATGTATTTTGTTTTTAATTTTCTGTGTATACCGTGTCCCCCTGCCTCTCCCACCCCAGTATAATGTAAACACTTTGAGGACAGGAATGATTTCAGTTTTGTCCTTGGATTCCCAGCACCTGCGAAGTGCCCAGCACTTTAGTGATGGGGAACTCTGAGAAAAAGACAGGTGCCTTGTCCTCAAGCAGCTCAGAGTCTAGGTGGGGAGTCAAGAATTATAGGTGGGGCACAACAGAGAACAAAACAAGGAGGGTTAGACTCAGGAGACAGAATGGTGTGGTGGACAGAGCTTTAGATCTAGGTTCAGGTAAGACCTGAGTTCAAATCCCACAATCTCCTCTGATATTTGCCAGCTGGACAGTCATGTTTCAGAGTTTCAGTTTCCTCATTTTTGAAAGTGGGATTAAGATGCTCAAAGCATCTACCTCACAGGGCTGCTGTGAAAATGATTTTAGAGCTTTGTAAGCCTTGAAGGATAGTTATTTCTGAGGCCCAGGTGAGATGTCCCTTATAATCAGGCAGAACTCAGATGTTACTTATAGTATCAAAGTTGCCTGGGGTACTGAGGAAGGATGAAAAATATTGGAAGAGCTGCTGTGGTAATGGGAGAATGCATTGATTAGGGAGATGTAAAAGTATTGCTTTGCTATGGTGAGGGCCCAGATGAGGTTATGTAACACAAATTTGCAATGGACCCAGTTAGCACAAATTAATGATTTTCACCAGTTTTGTTCAGCAGTGCATGACCAGGAAGGTGGGAATGATCCAAGGCTGAGACTTGGCAGTATAAGGCCGGTCATAGGATAAGGGAACCCAGACTCAGAAAGATGAGGACAACCTAGAGTTCAGCTGATTCACTTACGGGGTCAAGATAGGGAAAGGAGGCGAGTATGGCCAGTGCAAGGGTGATGGCCTGGGAAAGAACTGAGAGGCCTGGAGGTTAAGGTATGAATGAAGAACAGCATTCAGGGTTGCAAGACAGAAGGAGGAGCAGAATGACAACACATTGTGATCAGATATGGGAATTTGAGAGTTCTTGAACGTTGAAGTGGAACACATGGGTGATGGCCTACTGTGGAAACAGTGTTAGACTGAGAGTCAGAAATTCTTGGATCCTCACAATTTGTGAAGTAGGTACTTGTGATATTGTTGTCACTTTGCAGATGAAGAAACTGAGTCACAGAAAAGACACACAGGTAGTGTCAAAGTCAGAATTTGAATCCAGATCCTTTGACTTCTTTCTACCATTGGCACATGTGAGCCATTGGGGCTGTTCAGTCTGTCTCCCCTTAATGCTCCTTCTTCTGTTTCGCCAGAAGTCCAGGATGGAGGATGAACAACAGAGGGGCAATGGACAGGCAGTCCAAGGGCAGTTATATGGAGTGGACATGGAGGAGCCAGGGTTCAACCAAAGAGGCCAGAACCCAGTTGGGAAGGAGAAAGCCACTGACGACCCCAAGAGAAGAAGACGGGATTACATGCGTCTGGCCCCTGTGTGGCTTGCTCTGCTGATGTTGGCAGCAGGTGGAGTCCTGCTCTGGTATTTCCTAGGTAACTAAAGGCTAAGACGTTGGGGGTAGGGATGAGAGCTGTAACCAACATATGGCAAATGGAGGTTTGTCACAGGGTGCTGGGGTCTAGGGTGGTGCGTTTCCTCTCTGACAGAATGGACAGTGTGAAGCTCGCACCTGTCCCCAGCTAGTACCTACAGGGTTCTATGATGGTGGTACCCCTTCCCAGGTCACCTTCTTCCTCCATCCCTAAGCCCCACCAATTTTCTCTGGGATAAGTAGCCTCCCCACCATAGGTTTGTCGTTGTGCCTTCCAGGTCACCTCCCCACTTGAATTTTCCCCATGGGCAGTGATGGCTAGTTTCAGCTCTAATGGCCACAGGGGTCATTATAATTGGGGATCTTTTATTCATCTGTTGGCCAAAACCTGAGAGAGAAGAACTGGGAAAGTTGACCCTGAAGGTCAAGGATAAACACGCTTGATTGGTGTAGCTTAAGCTAGGTAGAGGTAGAGCTGAGTAGTG